CAGCAGGAGTGGCGCCTCCTCTGCGGACGACAGCAGCAGGGCAGCAGCACAAACAGCAGATGCAGCAGCAACAGCAGCAGCAGCAGCTGCTGCTGCATGCGCTTGGATGGGTTGATATGGCTGCAGCAGAAGAAATAGTGAAGGAAATGTTTGCTGCTTTTAGTGCTGCAGGGCTGCAGCAAGACACAGACAAACAGAGGGACTCTGCTGCTGCTGCTGCTGCTGCTGCTGCTTCTGCTGCTGCTGCTGCAACGGCCACCGCACGCAGGTAAGATAAATGTGCTTCTGGCTGCTGCTGCTGCTGCTGCTGCTGCTGTACCTCACGGGCGTACTGGCGGTTTGTCATCGACTGTGCTGCTGCTGCTGCTGCTGTTTCTGCTGTTGCTGCTGCTGCTGCTGCTGCTGCAGGGGGCCGTCACCAATGGCAGCAACAAAGACACGAGCAGCAGCAGATGGTGCTGCAGCAAATATTGTATCGAGGTTCTTTCCTCCTTTTCTTAGTCAGCTGGCGCCCCCTGCTGCTGCTGCTTCCAAGCAGCAGCAGCAGCAGCAGCAGCAGCAAGAGCAACAACCTGAGGACCCCACTGGAACAGCAGCAGCAGCAGCAGCAACAGCTGCTGCTGCTGCTGCTGCTGCTGCAGCTTCTCCTGCACACACCCGCAGCAGATCGCCAGCTTCCTTTGCTGCTGATAAACGGGATATGAGTCAAGGCGACAGCAGCAGCAGCAGCAGCAGCAGCAGCAGCAACAGCAGCAGCAGCAGCAGCAGCAGCAGCAAGAGTGAAGGACCCTTAGATGTGGGGTGGGATCGGATCCCTGCTTCCTACGCTGATGCACAGAGGTAAGCAGACTCTCGCTTCTTTGCTGCTGCTGCTGCTGTTGCTGCTGCTGCTGCTGCTGCTGTTGTTGTTGCTGCTGCTGCTGCTGTTGTTGTTGCTGCTGCTGCTGCTCCTGCTGCTACTGCTGTTGCTGTTGGTGCTGCTGCTGCTGATTTTTTCGCTGTTGATCTTGCTGCTGTAGCTCAACCATCTGCTGTTGCTGTTGCTGCTGCTGCTGCTGCTGTTGCTGCCGTTGCTGTTGCTGCTGCTGCTGCTGCTGCTGCAGGCTGAGTCAACTGCGGCTGTACGTATACGAGGCGCTGCTCGCCCACGAGCCGCTGCTGCACTTCCCTGTCTCCTTGGAGTCTCCAACCAGCAGCAGCAGCAGCAGCAGCAGCTGCAGCAGCAGCAGCAGCTGCAGCAGCAGCAGCAGCAGCAGCAAGGTGCTGCAGTACATTGGGTTGCAGCTGTTCTGCTTCCTCGACGATTGCTGGCTGCGGCTGAGAGCAGCAGGCAGCGCGATGCCTCTCCCGCTGCTGCCTCTTGCTGCAGTTCCCAGACATACAAGCAGCAGCAGCAGCAGCAGCAGCAGCAGCAGCAGCAGCAGCAATGTTTGTAGCATTGCTGCTGCTGCTGCATGCAAACCTTCTGTGGCTGCTGCATCTTCATCTGCTGCTGCTGTTTCTGCTGCAGCAGCAACCACAGCAGCAGATCATTACCACCCCTCCCCTGTTGCCTCACCAGCAGCAGCAACATCAGCAGCAACAGCAGCAGCAGCAGCAGCAGCAGCAGCAGATGAAGCAGCACTAACAAAGGCTTTAGGTATCGAGGGTTCTGCTGCTTTCTGGGGGAGCTACGCCCGCTTTGTCTTAGCAGCAAACCAGCACTGTCTGCTGCTGCCCCTTAAAGCTGCTGTCTCCTTCGTTGTATCGAAGTAAGCTAGCAGCAGCAGCAGCAGCAGCAGCAGCAGCAGCAGCAGCAGCAGCAGCAGGGGGGTGGGAGGGGTTGGGGGGGGGCTAGCTGAAGCGGTGCAGCAGTTTGCTGCTCTGAATATGATGGCGAATTGCATTCCTGCTGCTGCTGTTGCTGCTGTTTTTTTTTTGCTGCTGCTGCTGCTGTTGCTGTTGCTGCTGCTG